CGCGACTCGGGCCGGAGCAAAATGCGCTCCGGGCAGGAAAAAAAAAAAATTCGTGGTGGTGGGCCCTAGGAATCGTTCCCACTAGGGAACCTGCTCGATACCATGAGAAGAAACGAGGAAATGAAATGACTAAGTGAAAGTTGGGTACAAAAAACAAACCCTAGAAAACTGTACCCCATATGTGCCACCCCACTATAGCCTACAGTAGCTATGTCATATAAATCTGACAGCGGCCATCTCCGTACGCGCTTCTACCCTTCGGGTGTTCTGTTCATTTGTCGTTGTACTTGGAGTCTCACTCACGGATGAGCAATTTCGTGAAATTTACGATATTGGAAGCTTCTAAGGCGTCTGGCGTTTTCGTCGCCGCTAATAAGCTCAGCGATCATCGTGCGCGAGCTTCGTCTTTCTCGTCGTGTTCTGAGTCTACTCAAAACACGTAGCTAATAAACTGAGCCGTTGATCCTCCTCGTGCGCGAAGCAACCTAATACGATCGATTTGGCCATATTTTTTTTTCACATTTTATTTATTTAGAATAAAATGTGAAATAAAAAAAGCTGGATGCACTAGTTGCTAGCTGCATGTAGTAAGTATTGTCTAATTCAATTGTGATGTGATGGTAGTGATTTTCCTGTTCGCACTACGTCATATTTTTTTATGTTGGATGGTATAGTGGTAATTACATGACTGTCATCAAATGCATATATGTTATGACTTGTACACATATGCTGAAATGAATATAATGGTACATATTTGAATGAATATAATGATACAAAATATATAAATGCATTATGCAATAATGATAATCGTGCTTCAGTATGCATAATGTTTCATGTTGAAATGCATGCATACCAATACATGACATAAATGCGTGACAGCTAACGATCCAAAAACTGTCAGAATCCCAACCACTAGACCATTGGGATAAAAGGGCTTGTTTCAGTAGCGGGTCAGTGCGCCCATAACCCCCCAGGCGAACGCGCCTGTAACCCTCTCCAGGATCAATCGGGCATCCACAGTGCAGATCTACTGACACCCCCCCACACTGGGAGGCCCAGGACTAAGCACAGCGGCAACGGCCTACATGTGCATACACCGGGAATCGAACCCGAGACCGCTCTGATACCATGTCAGAATCCCAACCACTAGACCATTGGGATAAAAGGGCTTGTTTCAGTAGCGGGTCAGTGCGCCCATAACCCCCCAGGCGAACGCGCCTGTAACCCTCTCCAGGATCAATCGGGCATCCACAGTGCAGATCTACTGACAAAAACTATGCTATCGCATCCCCTGCCTAGCATGGGGGGGAGCTAATAGCATAATCCTTGAACAATCAGCAGTCACATGAAACAATACAATCTGTCAACTCTAAAAAGATGGTCAACTCTATCATCTCCAGTTCAAGTGGGCTCCCGACAGGCGCGCCAATGAACCTTCTAATGAAATGATAGACCTGATCCACCTTTTTAAAACCTACAGACATACATTGTTAATGCAATGATGATATGGGTAAATGAAAATGGATAGATGCACACATACACACACACACACACACACACGCACGCACGCACGCACGCACGCGCACACACACACACACACATGTCAGAGGTCCACTGGTGATCCCCGATTGATCCTAGGGAAGGGTTACAGGCATGTTGGCCTGGGGGGTTATGGGCGCACTGACCCGCTACTTAACAAGCCCTTTTATCCCAATGGTCTAGTGGTTGGGATTCTGACATGGTATCAGAGCGAAGGTCTCGGGTTCGAATCCCAGTGTGTGCACTTCGGGCATCCCAGTGCGGGGGGGTGTCAGAGGTCCACTGGTGATCCCCGATTGATCCTAGGGAAGGGTTACAGGCATGTTGGCCTGGGGGGTTATGGGCGCACTGACCCGCTACTTAACAAGCCATTTTATCCCAATGGTCTAGTGGTTGGGATTCTGACAACACACACACACACACACATACCAGACACATACACACACGCAATAAATCCGACAATTTAATAAAATAAAAACAAGGCACATGAGTGGACACAAATTAACGAATTCTACAAGCCGTCACTAGTACGGTATCTTCCAGCATTCCACATTATGACTTGATTTTCTGAGTATTAGAGCAAACTGAAATACAGAACAAATGGGGGAAAGAGGGATCAGGGGAGGGGTGAAGGACATTAAATATGAAGGGAGACGTATTACAACAGGGAGAGAGAGAGAGGGAAATGTGGGCGTAAATGAATCAATGTAAGCAAGCGGAGCGAAGAGGGAAACAAACATAACGAACAAAAATAGGAGGAAATGAGAAGAATGGATAGAAAGAGAGGGGGTCTAGGATAGAAGCAGGCCCTCAGAAGTCAGACATTTTTCTCTGATTTGCATGAAAAACTCTGAGAATTCAGATTTTCTTTTAAGTGAACTCTGTTAAAATCAGAGATTTTAGGGCCCCAACTCTGTAATTTTCAGACAAATGTTAAGGCCAACTCTGAAATTTCAGAGTTTTCCAGGAGTGTACTCTGATCATTCAGAGTACAAACGCGTTCTTGACTGGTGATTCGGACTTCACGGGTCACAGCAGATTCGCACTGTCAACGCAAAATCGCTTTGACACAGCAAATCCGCGCCTTACAGCACAAAAGTTTTGACCAATCATAGCAAAATCGTCCTGACACCACAGATTTGCGCCGTCAGAGCACAGCAATTTCGCCCAATCACAAAAAATTCGCGTCTGACATTGCTGATTCGCCCTTACAAACCACAAGATTCGCCCTCCCTGACACAAAAACTCGCCCAATCACCACAAGATTCGCCCAATCACCACAAGATTCGCCCTGACCCAAGATTCGCCCAATCACCACAAGATCCGTCTAATCACCCCACAAGATTCGCACTGACACAAGATTCGCGTCTGACATTGCAGATTCGCCGTTAGAGCATGTTCTCCCGAAATCCCCTTAGTCTAGCATGTTTCAATATCAGATGAAGGAAACATTGGATACATTTCTGATGAACATTGAATACATTGATTTCGAATATTCGGACTTTTTTTTTAGGACACTCTGAAATTTCAGCCTTTTTTTTATACCAACTCTAAGAGTTTCAGACTAAAACTCTGTACTAGTCTGACGAATCAGACAGGCCAAAAACGAATCTGAGGGCCTGGATAGAAGGCAAAGGTATATGACATTAAGAAATGACAAAACCAGAAAAAAGAAACCTGAAGCAGGAAAGGAAATTGAAGAACAAAAGCGGATACCAAAGCAGAAGAAACCAAAGCAGAAAGAATGAAGGAAAGGCCAAGATTGGACAGCTTGAAGCCCTAATTCGCCTAGCAAGCTAGGTCGAAATGGTACCATAGTAAAAACGTTGAAGAGAATGATAGGAACATATGGAGAGCAGAAAGAGTGAAGTAACAGAAACGGAGGAACGGAACATATCATGCAAAAGGAAAGAAGGCGAAAGAATAAGAGAAAAATAATCCAATATTAACCAATCAGATATTCTTTATCTCTTCCTTTCTCTCTCTTTCAAACAAAGTCGGTAACAAAAGAAGAGAAGCCTAAGGAGATAAGGCATCGAAGATGGTGGTGATAAGATGAGACCTATGCGAAGATGATGATGATGATAACAGAGCACCCATGTCTGGTTTAGTATAGTATGTAACATCCAACTTAGATCTAAGCTATAAGGTTCTTCTCACCAGTGGCATAAAAATGGAGTAGATGGCGCATACGTAGCTGGCCACCTGAAGGGAGAACGCATAAGATTATAAAAAGAAAGGAAAGAAAGAAGTAAAACCACCGGTATTGAGCGGATTAACAAGGAAATGTGAACATGGTTAGAACTAGATATGGAAATGATGAGATGGCTTCAAGAGAGACGGACGAAAATCGAATATGTGGAAAGGAAGCACTATCTAAGGACGACCTAACTGTTAGCAGCCCAAAAAAAAGCAGATCTAGATGTTAAGTTAATATGGCAGAGGCGTCTAGATTCTACCTAACAACAACATCTAACGAGCTATACTACGGGTCGACGGTAGTTACGATCCACCATATGCTCAGTTTAGTCTTGCGTAGAACATCTAACTTAGTTTAGTTGAAGGAGGGTACTTCTCACCACGGGTAGGTTGTTGGAGCGTGACTAACGGCCGTTTTAGTTTACTACCAAGCTTCAGTGGCGAGAAGGGAGGGAGGAAAGGAAGAACAGAAACCCTAAGGCATTGCTGATTGCGTCGCATGACCAAAACCAAATGATTTTGTGACGGAAACAAAGCAGTTGTCGTCGCGCAGTCGACTGAAATCGGCCATGGAATCGAATGGTCTTATGTTCGATACCTGCAACTGAGCTTTTCAAACCTTAAAGCAAGGGTGCACTTTGGGGGGGGTGGACCCAAAGGTTTATCACTTGCCTTTGGTGGTTACCCTGTTTGTGCTTGGGGATCCGACGCGAACCAAAAGTTCAGTGTTGGCGGACTTGCGCGTGTTGTCACTCCCCTGTCGTCACAACCGAATGCCCAATTCGGGAGTTGGGAACTTGCAGCACACCCAGCAGTTCATGAACCAAAACGCGCATGCATACTTGTACCACAGCACACGCATTCCAGCACATACGACTAGCACTTGTTCTAGACGGCAAGGACGGGAGGCCGTAGCCTCTCAAAACGTCGCCTTCCTACCGCCCCACCCATCGCCTTCATCGCGCCCGCTAGATTATCATCTCGCGAGCACTTAGGCGCCTCCGCCTGTCGTACCCCGCTGTGTGCAGTTAGCGCGCTCTTATCCGTGAGGCAGCTGCCAGACCGCGAATTGCTCAAACAGGCGGAGGAACTACCGTGCTCACAATTCGCGCGTAGCGAACAGCGACATCGAGTACAATCCCCGCCCGGCACTGCGCATCCCACTCCGCGCGAAGCAGGTCATCCCTCCCCTACGGCGCCCACGCTTACACCCTCCCGTCGACTTCGTGCACTCCCCTCAGTAGGGGGCGACGCACTCTCCTATGTCGCCCGCGCTCACACACAGCCGTCGCCCACGATCACTCCCCTTCCGTCGATGTCGTTCACCCCCCTCCGTCGCCCACGCTCACTCCCCTCGGTCGCCCACGCTCACTCCCCGCACGTCGCCCTCGCTCACTTCCCTCCCGTCCCCCACGCTCACTCCCCTCCCGTCCCCCACGCTCACTCCCCTCCCGTCCCCCGCGCTCACTCCCCTCTCATCCCCCACGCTCACTCCCCTCCCGTCGGTCACGCGACGCGTCACTCCGTCACACATGCTCCCTCCTTCAAGTCGCCGGAATGTGATATGCTTGGGCAATGTTACCCCGCCGTGGGCACGAGCTCCCTCCCGTTGCCTTCGCGCACTCACGCGATGTCGCGGCGATGCTCACTCCCCTATCACTTCGTCCGCGAGATAGATCACTCACCATGTGTGGCACTCATGCACTGCCCTCCATCGCAAACGTTTAGGCGTCTCCCTCTTCCATCTCACTCTACCCTCCTCTCCCCCCATGCTTCCCCTCCTTTACCCCCATGCTTCCCCTCCTTTCCCCGCATGTTTATACTCCGTTCGTCAAATGCGACCTCCCGTTCCCCCCCATGCTCCACGCCTCTTACCCCCCTGCTTCCCCTCGGTTCCCCCCATGCTCCCCCACCGTGCCCCCCACGCTTCCCCTCCTTTCCCCCCCTGCTCCCCCTCCTTCCCCCCCCTGCTTCCCCTCCTTCCCCCCCCTGCTTCCCCTCCTTTCCCCCCCTGTTTCCCCTCCTTTCCCTCCCTGCTCCCCTCCTACCCCCCCCCCTGCTTCCCCAAACGGCGGGTGGGAATGCCTACAAGCAGCTATTTGCGCGACGGAGGGGGCGTGCCTCGCCACTGAGCGGCGGCGAGGACGTGCACCAAAACACATATGTGCGAAGGGAATACGTGGGACGACGCCATCTCGGTTGTTGGTACACATCTTTCCTGTGCCGGGAGCATGCACATTATTTTCCGTGACCACCGCGTCCATACCTTGCCGCTACACCACTCCTTGCCCCTCTGAACGCATCTCTTATCCGCACTGACCGCTCCCGCCTTCGTCGCCTTTTCCCCTAGTTTCCGGAATTTCACCCCCTTGCCACCTTTCACCTGTCTGTCTTACTCTCATCTTCGCCCTTACACCTACCTGCCTACGACACCCTTACAGCCCCCTTTTCCCTATTTGGAGTACACCCTTCTTCTCACTTTCCCCTCTCTTGCCGTTCACCCTTCTTCACCCTTTCCCCTCTCTTCCGTACACCCTTCTTCCCCCACCTTGCATTCTCTGCCTTACTCCCTTCTTCCACACCCTTCATCCCCCAATCCCCTCTCTGCCTTACGCCCTGCTTTTCCCTTCCCCCTCTCTCCTGACACTTTTCACATTGCAAAGGGGGTTTTCTGCCTAACGCCCGGCCTGGGCCTTTCCCCTCTCTGCCTTACAACCTTTTTCCCCCTTACCCCATTCTGCAATACCACATGCTTGCACGTTTCCACCCACAATGCCTTACGCCCTGCTTCCTCCTTTTCCCTCTCGTCCCTACCCTCTTCTTCCCCCTCTCCCTCTCTGCCTTACACCCGTCAACCCCCTTTTCCCTCTCTCAGTGTGACCTGGGGGAAAGGGGGGGAGCGACCTGGGGGACAGGGAGGAGCAACCTGGGGGGGGGTTTGAATGGCGACCTGGGAGAAAGGGGATGAGAGACCCGCGGGGGTAGGGGAAGTGGAGGGGAAGGGGAAGTGCGACCTGTGGAAAAGGAGAGGAGCGACCTGAGGGAAGAGGAAGTGCGCCCTGGGGTAAAGGGGAGGAGCGCCCTGTGGGGAAGTTGAAGTGCGAGCCGGGTGAAAGGGGAAGTGCGACTTGGGGGAAAGTGGCGGTGCGACTTTGCTCGGAAGGGGAGGTGCGACTTGGGGGAAAGGGGAAGTGCGACTTGGGGGAAAGGGGAAGTGCGACTTGGGGGAAAAGGGAGTTGCGACCTTGGGAGAGATGGGAATGGAAAAGGGATCGGGTTTCGTCCTTGGAGGTAACGAGGTGGCGGTGGAGGCGTAGGCGATGAGGCGCGACCTGGAGGCTGCAAGCCGTTGAGGAGGCGCATCGTCGTGGCAGTGATGTGGAGGCGATTGCATTAGCGGGGTGGCGAGGCGGCGATGAAGCGGCGTTTGGGAATTTACAGCGTGGCGTGGCAAGGGATGAGAGAGGGTATGACGGGATGAGAGTGGAGAGGGAGGGATGAGAGAGGGGAGGACGAGATGGGAGAGGAGAGGACGGGAGGAGAGAGGAGAGGACGGGAGGAGTGAGGAGAGGACGGGAGGAGAGAGGGGTGGACGGGATGAAAGAGGGGAGGAGACGACGTGAGAGCGGAGGAAGGGACGAAAGATGGACGGATGAGAGGGAGAGGACGGGATGAGAGATGAGAGTGAGGGATGAGAGATAAGAGTGAGGGATGAGAGATGAGAGATGAGAGCGAGGGATGAGAGAGGAGAGTCCGGGATGGGAAAGGAGGAGGGATGAGTAAGTGGGGGACGGGAGGAGAGAAGGACGGGAGGGATGAGAGAGGAGATGGAGGGATGAGAGAGGGGAGGACGAGATGATAGTGGAGAGGGAGGGATGAGAGGGAGGAGGACATGGTCCTGAGAGGAGAGAGGGGGATGATAAGGGATGAAAGAGGAGGGGAGGGAATGAGAAAGGAGAGGAAGGGATGAGTGAGGGGGGGACGGAATGTGAGAGTAGATGGAGGGATGAGAGGGGGAGGAGGGGATGAGAGGGGAAGGAGGGGATGAGAGATCATCGCAAAACAGGGGAGAGGGGAATGTGTGTTGCGGGAGTCTTGTTTGTGACTTCCTCGTTTTGTAGGGGTTGGGAATCATGCGAGAATAATGCTCGCATGTGGCATGGGAGTGATGTTCGGGTGTTGCGTGGTTTTTGAAGTGGTGCGCGTGTTTCTGGGCACTTGATGTCAACTCCGCAGGCTCAGCTAAACTGTTTCGTGGCAGCAAACTGTTCATCGCGCTTTTCACATTTCCTGAAGTTGTAACAAACAGTGCTATTAAATTTGAATTGGTAATGTTATATAATCTTGTCAACGCGCTTGATACTATAATTTGGTGGATATTGATATATTCGTAAAACAAATATATTTCCAATGCTAGTGTCTAGCTTGTTGTGTAATTGCTGATTTAATTATTGATTTTTTGATATGTTTATAATATTTTATGTGGTTGATGGATTCATTAATCTAATTCTGGCTAAGCTGATTAATTTAGGGCGAAACTAATGTTATACAGTCAGTCCTGTAACTCCCTGTTTGTAACAATATTAAATTCTGTAATAGACTTTGGTTGACTTTGGTAACAATATTAGAGTTTTGAACATTTTATTGTATTACGAAAACGTTGACGTGCCCGGTTCCCTCTTTGGTCTTATTCCCTAGCAATAGGAACTGTCAGAACATCATAGCTTACACTTTTGTGTAGGCTGTAGTGGGGTATCCCATAGGGGGTACAACCCAATTAGGGTTAGTACTTGTACCCACTTCATTCATAGTCCATTCATCCTCGTTTCTTCTCATGGTATCGAGCAGGTTCCCTCGTGGGAACTGTTCCTAGGGCCCACCAAGTCGAAAAATTTTTTTTCCTGCCCGGAGCGCGCTTAGTTTAGGCCCGAGTCGCGCCTCGTGTGCCCTCTCTACTGTCGCGTCGCCCCTCGCGGCCTCCCTTGCGCCGCCCTTACTCGGCCCGTCGCCGCCCTTTGCGGCCCGTCGCCACCCTAAGCGGCCCGTCGCCGCCCTTGCGCCGCCCGTAACGGCTCGTCGCCGCCCTTCGCGGCGTCGCGTGCCGTCCTTACGGCACGCTGCCGACCTCCGCGGCCCCTCGTGCCGCCCTCACCTGCGGCCCTGCCACCTTCCAGCGGGCACGCCGCCCTTACCTGCGGCCCCGCCGCCCTCTGCTGCGGCCCCGCCACCTTACCTGCGGCCCCGCCACCTTACCTGCGGCCCCGCCACCCTACCCGCGGCCCCGCCACCTTACCTACGGCCCCGCCGCCCTCTGCTGCGGCCCCGCCACCTTACCTGCGGCCCCGCCACCCTACCCGCGGCCCTGCCACCCTACCCGCGGCCCCCCCCCCCGCCTTACCTGCGGCCCCGCCACCCTATCTGCGGCCCCGCCACCCTACCCGCGGCCACGCCGCCCTTACCAGCGGCCCCGCCGCCCTTACCTGCGGCCCCGTCACCTGCTGCCCAGCCGCGCCGCCCTGCAGCAGCACAGCCGAGCCGCCCAGCGACCGAGCAGCCGGACAACCGAGCCGCCCAGCAGCCCAGCAGCCGAACAGCCGAGCCGCCGAGCCGCCGAGCCGCCCAGCAGCCGAGCCGCCCAGCAGCCGAGCCGCCCAGCAGCCGAGCCGCCCAGCAGACGCGCCGCCCAGCAGCCGAGCCGCCCAGCAGCCGAGCCGCCCAGCAGCCGCGCCGCCCAGCAGCCGAGCCGCCCAGCAGCCGAGCCGCCCAGCAGCGGAGCCGCCGAGCCGCCGAGCCGCCCAGCAGCTGAGCCGCCGAGCCGCCGCGCCGCCCTCCTTCCGGGCCGCCCGACCTGCCCAGTCTGGTGAGCACAGCGCCTTTTCACTGCACTGTCCTCACCCTACTGTTTGCGCTGCTAGTCGTCTAGGGTCATGGCTACCCCTAGTGTTCTCGCCTTTGACGCTGAGGGTCGGGCCATTGCCTTTGAGGTCTGGGTAGATGACCTGCAGCTGTTCTTACAGTGCGATAGGGCAGACGGCCTCTCTCTCTTTGACCTCACCTCTGGCGCCTCCACTGCCCCTGCTGCTGATGCTGACGCCACTGTTCGCTCCCAGTGGGCCACGCGCGACGCTGCTGCACGTCTTGCTGTGCGTCGCCACCTCCCTACCTCCGAGCGTGCGCACTTTAGTCAGTACAAGAGTGCTCAGACCTTGTACGACGCTGTAGTTGCGCGCTACTCCTCCCCTGCCAGTGCTGCACTGAGCCGTCTCATGCTACCGTACCTCTTTCCTGACCTTGCTGCCTTTCCCACAGTCGCTGACCTCATTACGCACCTCCGCACTAGTGACACTCGCTACCGCGCTGCACTCCCTCCTGACTTCTGCGCCAAGAACCCCCCCCCCATGTACATCACTCTTTACTACATAGTCACTCGCCTTCCTGACTCCCTTCGCGTAGTCAGGGACCACTTTCTCTCTGTCTGTCCCACCACTCTCACTGTTGACCTCCTCGAGAAGTCCCTCCTAGCGGCCGAGAAGAGCATAGTCGCTGTAGGGGCCTCTCGTGGTGACCCGCGCACCCCCATCTTTGAGGGGTGTTCCCCCTCCCCCCTTCTGCCCTCTGTTGCCTCTGCTGCTGCGGCCGACCTCCTTGGTCTTGAGTCCGTCGGTGCGGCGTCTGCCCCTAGCGGGAGACGCCGCTCTGGCAAGGGCAAGGGGGGCAAGGGCGCTGGAGGAGCGAGCGGGGGCGGTGGAGGTGGAGGTGGCGGCAGTTGGGGGAGTGGGGGTGGCGGTGGGAGTGGAGGTGGGGGTGGAGGGGTCGGTGGCGGCAGTGGAGGTGGAGGTGGCGGCGGCGGTGGCGGTGGGAGCGGAGGTGGCGGAGGTGGCGGAGGTGGAGGCGGCGGCGGAGGCGGAGGCGGCGGCAGTAGCGGAGGCGGCGGAGGCGTCGGAGGCGGCGGGGGTGGCGGTGGTGCTGGTCGCGGGTCTTCGCAGAGGAGTGGCTCCGGTGGTGGCTCGCGCCAGCAGCAGCAGCGTGGTCGTGACACCCTGTCCCCTCAGCAGCTTCGTGAGTGGTACACTGCGCGTCAGCGGGGTGGGGGTTTTGGTCCGTGCTCCTACGTTTTGCGCACTGGCGACCGTGCGGGTGAGCAGTGTGGGGGTGCCCACCCCACCCAGCGCTGCTTTGGCCGCCTGACGGACGCGTGGCGTCACCAGTTCCCGGAGGCCTCCGAGATCCCTCGCTGGGGTTAGCTGTCTAGGGCGGGTGTTGCCATCTATGATCTTGACTTTGATGCTATTCTCTCTGCCATGTATGCTGTGTCTATTAGTGATGAGGGTGACTGTTACCGGTGTTTCCCGCCCGATCCGGGCATTGAGACTGCTGCTCTAGGTCCTGGTGAGGCTGCTGCCCTAGGTGCTTGCGACGCTGCTGCTCTAGGTGCTCGTGTGTCTGCGTCCTCAGGTACTGGTGAGTCTGCGCTCTCAGGTACTACGTCGGCTTCGGCCTCCCTCACCTTCACCCTTGACTCTGGGGCGTCTCGCTCCTTCTTTCGGGACCGCACCACACTCACACCGCTGAGTCGACCGGTTGCAGTGTCTCTGGCTGACCCCTCTGGGGGTCCTGTCCTGTCTCGCTTCTCCACAGTCCTCCCGTGTCCGGCGGCTCCCTCTGGCACCCTGTCTGGTCTCTACCTCCCCTCGTTCTCTACGAACCTGGTGAGTGGTGCTGACCTACAGGATGCGGGTGTACACCAGTTCACTCCTGCACGCCAGCGGGTGACCCACTGTACAGAGGCTAGCACAGGCCGACACCTGGCTACGTTTACCCGTCAGCCGGGGTCGAGCCTGTACACACTGACCACTGCGTCTCCTCCCGTTACTGAGTCTGGTAGAGTCGCTTCGTCGGGTCGGGTGTTTGCTGGAGCGTCCAGGTCTGGTCCTGAGTCTGCCCCCTGTTCGTGTCGTCTCCTGTCTCACGAGACTCTCCTCTGGCACCACCGTCTTGGTCACCCCTCTCTGCTTCGGCTCAGAGGCATGGCCTCCCGCCTTCTAGTGTCTGGTCTCCCCCGGTCCCTCCCTCCCCTTCCTCAGGGCCCTGGCCCTACCTGTGTCCCCTGTGTCGAGGGGCGCCAGCGTGCTGCCCCTCACTCCTCCCAGTTTCCTCCGACAGAGGCCCCGTTGCAGACGCTTCACATGGACGTGTGGGGCCCAGCCCGTGTCCGTGGGCAGGGTCACGAGCGCTACTTCCTACTAGTTGTTGACGACTACTCGCGTTACACCGCAGTCTTCCCCTTGCGCAGCAAGGGTGATGTCACTGAGGTGCTGATCGACTGGATCCGCGCAGCTCGTCTCCAGCTCAGGCAGAGCTTTGGCTCCGACTTTCCTGTTCTGCGTCTGCACTCGGACAGAGGCGGGGAGTTCTCCTCTGGCCTTCTGCGAGCCTACTGCCGTGCACGAGGCATCCGTCAGACCTTCACGCTTCCGGACTCTCCGCAGCAAAATGGGATTGCTGAGCGCCGCATTGGCATGGTCATGGACGTCGCTCGTACGTCTATGATGCATGCGGCTGCCCCCCATTTTCTGTGGCCGTTTGCGGTGAGGTACGCGGCGCATCAGATCAACCTTCACCCCAGAGTCTCCAGGCCGGAGACCTCCCCAGCCTTGCTGTGGACGGGGAAGGTTGGCGATGCGTCGGCGTTCCGGGTCTGGGGATCTCGAGCGTTTGTCCGCGACTTGTCTGCGGACAAGCTGTCCCCTCGTGCTGCTCCTTGCGTCTTTCTGGGGTTCCCCCCCGACGCGCCTGGGTGGCAGTTCTACCACCCCACCTCTCGCCGTGTTCTGTCCTCCCAGGACGTCGCGTTCGACGAGTCGGTCCCCTACTACCGCCTCTTCCCCTACCGCACTCCGTCCCTCCCCCCGCCCCCGCTCTTCCTTGTTCCAGGTCCCCCCCCAGTAGACCCCCTCCCCCCTCAGGGTCCTGCCCCTTCAGGTGTGTCCCAGGTAGACGCAGTTGAGCCTGTCGAGGTCACTGGTGACTCTGGTGCTGCTGAGGGTGCTGAGCCTGGGGGTGCTGAGCCTGGGGGTGCTGAGTCTGGGGGTGCTACGCCTGGGGGTGCTGAGCCTGGGGGTGCTGAGTGTGGGG